TTCGTAGGGGCCTCAGAGCCTCAGGGTGGGCTTCAAGGCACCTTCCTCTGGAGCATTTAGAGAAGCTGTTTCTCTCGGCCTCATCAGCACCCTGAGAGCGAAAAGAGACGTCTACTGCCTGCTTTATTGCTGTTAGGAGTCTGAGACACAGGGGCCACGCAACTTGCCAGAGGACTTCCAGCAAAGCCGGAAAGGAGCCTGAGGGTTTCTCCGGTGGGTTCGGGTTGCTTGGCATTGTGGCCGGCTAACTCCCTAACAGCCAAGATGGGAAAGGACGCCCACACTCTCAGTCCTCGCCCATTCGTCAAGTGTCCGGAGCCCACTGGACACTTGAGGGAGGCACGGGGGCCTGGAGGCACTGGGGCGGTGTGGGGCGGGAGCGGTGAGGGAGATGCCTGGACACTGGCGCCACCGCAGTGCCCGGCAGAACTAGAGCCTGACTACTTGCCTCTCCCCCCCGAGAGCTGGAGACTTCAGTCAAGGGGCTCCAGGGGGAAACGGGGTGGCCGGAGATGCAAGTGAGGGAAAAACTAAAGCAGATGCAATCAGCTCTGCCGATCCCCCTCTTTCCCCCAACACCTTAAAAACAAGCCGTGTGTGTGCTCAGTGCTTTCCAACTCGCCCAGTGTTTTCATAACATTATCTCATTTCAGCCTCACATCAACCCACACACATTCTTGCCTTTCAGATTTCTTATGTACTCAAACAAGTTCCACCGAAAATTTGGCTAGAAACTCCCCTTCTCCTATTCTTCCCCCCCCGCCCCTTAAACCTCAGGCCTTTTTGACTGATACTTTGAAGAAGCTCCCAGATTCCCCAGGATGGGGAGGTGGAATTTATTTTGCTAACCGTGCCCGCCTGAAGGACACCAGTAGTCCTGGACTCTGTTATTGGCACCGACACTTTTGTTTTTAGTTTATAGTTTAGCTGTTAAAACAAACAAACAAAGCCACAGAGGCCAGGGTGGATGTTGTATTGTGGGGAAAACATAGGCATTGGAGCCGGTAAGCCCCAGAATCGACTGCTGGTTCAGCCGAATGAGAGCCACGTGGCCATGCCCAAGCCTCAACCTCTCGGAGCCTCTCTTTCTTCATCCGTAAAATGGGGGCGATGGCGATTATGTCTTCAAGTTGTCCCGAGGCACAGATGTGCTAACAGACACAGGTGTGCCTCAGCAAACAGGGAAGTTCCCTGTAGCCAACCAAAGGACCAGCTTCACCATGACTAAGCAAATTGAACGCCATACCGTCTTCTTGCAAGCCAGGAGGGAGAAAGAGTGTGGGAATATGTTGCTAAATGAATTTAAATGGGGGCATTTTTACTCAAAGGATAATTAGCTACATGTCTTGCATACTGAGGTATGCAGACATTTGAGGTAACTTTAATGAGATATAAAGCTCAGTACCTTTATTTTTTAAAAAAATATTTTTGATTGATTTTTTTTTTAGATAGAAGGAGGGGAGAGAGAGAGAGGGAAACATCGATTTGTTGTTCCACTTCTTTCTGATTGGTTGATTTCTGACTGGGGATCAAACCCACAACCTTGGCTTTATTGGGACAACACTTTAACCAACTGAGCTGCCCTGCCGGGGCACCTTTCTTCTTTTTTAAATCCTTATTTTAGGTGAGGAGGAAAAGGAGCTGGAGAACTGGATTTATGTAATGTTAAAAAACAAAGCAGTTCTGATTACGCTGGGGTTTTTGTTGAAGCAGAATTGCGATTCGACCCTTTAGTTCCTGGGACAAGGCTGGAAGGCGGGAGGGAGTGCAGCGCGCTCTGACGGGGTATTTAGTTCACTGATCTGCGTGTAGTAGATGCTCATTAAATATTGGTGGTGGACTGAGGTGGTTTAGAGTCCAGATCGTGTATTTGCTTCTGGGGCTGACTTCTTGGCAAGCGCATTGCAAGGCGTAGGGCTGTAGTGGAAAGAACACTGGACAATGTGCCTGAAGGCCTGCGTTCAGGTTCCATCTACACCACTCAATAGCCTGGTGACCTTGGACCTGCCATTTGATCTCTTAGGTGTCTTCTCACCTGTAAAATGAGGAAACTGGATTAGGTGATTGGGAAGGTCTCTCTCAGCTTTCTGAGGCTCTAAGTAACTTCACTTGCTTTTGTTTCTGTTTCTTCATTTATTCAAAGGCCATGGGGAGAGAAACCTCACAGGATATTAAGAAGAAATGGTCAGTCTGCATGACAAATACTCTGTGTCTTTAGAGATCTGAAGGAAATGTAGTAACCCAGAACTGTGTAACAGAGTAGCTGTGTGATCTTTGGCAAGCCTCTCATTTATTTCAGCCTCCGTTTGCATATTTGTAAATTGGGGGGCTGGAAGTTGTGCTATGTTACTCTTATGTTCTCTTGGAATCTGTGTTTATGAAAATGCTTTGAAAAACCACAGGGCACTATATAAAGTGTTACGATTGAGGAATGGCATACTTGCTATAGTTGTGTCAACGTTCAGCCCTGTGCCTCCCATATTTTCAAATGAATGGATGTGTCACTGTGGTCCCAGAAGGGAAACAGAAAGTGTAGATTTCAGGTCACAACCTAAGGCTTACTTTCTATTCCAACTTACTGATGGAGGTGACATTCAGTTAAAAATGGGTATTAATTCAACGTTTCCTGTAGAGTAGGCACCAGGTAAGTATCTCAATGTTCTCCAGTGCAGGCGGTCCAGTGCAGGGCAGATATCGGTTGGTGGAGTTCTTATTTTCCACAATCTGCTCCAAAATAAGGCCATTTTGACACTTCAGAGGTGTGTGTGGGGGGGTTTACTTTCTGAGTTTTGCAAGTTTCACAAAGCAATAACCGCAGATATAACACGGTGCTATTGCTCTGTAAAAATGGTAAGGCAAGTCCTTTCACCCAGGTCTTGCCAGGGATTGTTGCTACTGAGGAAAAATGGCAGAAGACGTCTGTCCTGCTTTTGCCTAGCGCCTAGCACAGGGCCCCAGACATCCCAGCCTGGAAGCCAGCCCTCCACGCAGTGGTTTTTCCTTTGGTTCCAGTAATGACCATGCCACACCCAGCCTTTGAGAAGCTTCCCCACCCTACCCAAACAGAACAAACAGCCGCCCCCGCCCCCCAGCAGTAACCCTATACCTAGAGCACCCCCCAGCAGCTCCTCTCCGTAGAATCATTGCCCTCCATCCAGACACCACCTCCAGAGGACCAGAGTGGAGGTGGTACTTGGCAGCACAAGTCAGCTACTGATGTATCTTGTGAGGCAGGAGGTGGGGAGAGACTCCTGAATTTCACTGCTTGGAGGGAGCGATTAGGGGGCTTGCCTCGCAGCTGCCTTTTCCTAGAAAGTACACTGTTTTTACTCAGGTTGTGTGTACGAATGGCCAAAAAAAGCAAAACTGTTTTTGATTATTCTTACCACTTCTTTTTAATATATCAGTCACTATCAATTCTTACCTATGTTTATTTGGGTTGGCTGGGGAGAGCTGATGCAAAGTATGAGGGCCTGCTACGCCCTCACCGTCACTCCTACCATCCTTTACTTGAGATGGGATTATGTGTTCCCACTTTTAAGCACAAATAAATGGACTTCTATATGTTCACTACCTTTCTTTTTTTTTTTTTAAGATTTTATTTATTTATTTTTAGAGAGGGAAGGGAGGGAGAAAGAGAGAGAGAGAAACATCAATGTGCGGTTGCTGGGGGCTGTGGCCTGTGGCCTGCAACCCAGGCATGTGCCCTGACTGGGAATCAACCCTGCAATGCTTTGGTTCGCAGCCTGCGCTCAGTCCACTGAGCTACGCCTGCCAGGGCCGTTCACTACCTTTCAAAGTGCTGACTGACTTCAAAGCACGTTTAATTTTGGCAAGTTTTTGATACCCCCCCACATACACACATACGTCCTCCACCCCCAGGAAAGTGGTTTTGTAGGGCCATTTTACACCAGTTTTGGGGCAGAGGTGTGAAGCAATACACTCCAGCCACAGAGGGGCAGACTCCCAGCCTGGCTCTGGAGGCTGCGTGGACTGACCTCCTGGACAGACCCGTGGAGTTGCAATTCCTGAGCAGTGTGAAGGGGTTCCGCTGAAGTGCTTTGTTTCTTCTCTTTGTATCATATCTGGGAGCCAAGGCTGGGGCGGGGGGTGTGCTCGAGCCGCGCCCACCCGCACCCATGCCGCGTGCCGCCGGCGTGTGTGTATGTGTCCAGCGAAAAAACCCTAAGACAACACGCCACTTCCTTTCTCACGAACAAAACCCTCCGTAGGCCTCAGTGTTGCAGCATTGCGAGGTAGCCCCTTGCAAGCTAAGGCGACCCCCGCTGGTCCTCAGTCTCTCCAGCTCTGTGTCCCCTCCCACCTACCCAACGTCTCCTCTTAGGTGGTGTTCTAATTTCCCCACAGCTTGGAAGGTACAGAGAGGACGCACCTTGGGCCCAGGTATCGAGGTGCCACCGTGGGCAAGGATGTCAGGGAGAGGCCTAGTTTAGGGGATAATTTCTCAAGCAGGGTCCTCAGATGTGGCTCAGGGACCGCGACTGACTGCGTGCAAAGGAGAGTGCTGGTGCCAGGCGGCCAGGGTCGAGGTATGATGCCCTCCGCCGGCGGCAGAGCGGCCACCAAGCAGTCACATCCAGAGAGGGCCCAGCGCTCTCCTCAGGCCCACGGCCCTCCGACTCTGAGTCCCCAGGGGTGAGTGCAGGGAGGGGGCGCCAAGGCGGGCGGGTTTGTATGCAAGCGGAGTTGACATTGAACTCCAGCCCCAGTGTGTGCGTGTGTGCGTGCGCGCATGCCCACGCGCGTGCCTGCCTGTGAGTCCTGGGCAGGCGGCCGGGCTAGAAGCTGCAGCAAACCACGGCCCTCAAGTAGCAGAGCCGAGCGCGCCCCCGAGCTGCGGCTCGCAGGATCTGCGAGCACTGAAGCCATTCATGATTTTGGTGACGTTATTCCAGGAGTGGGCGATGGGGGCGGGGCCTCCGGGCCGAGCCCCGCCCCCCGCCCCTATAAATAGGGCTTCCTGGGCTCTTTGTCGGGCCGCGAGCTCGGTGGAGATCTCAGAGCTCAGTCTGTTTTGCCGACGCAACTGGCATCTGGGCTGTCTCCGGAAGGCGGACCGGCGAACGCCCAGTGCCCGTATTCGACCTCCTGCTCCCTGCCTGCCGAGTCTGTCTGCGCCCGTGACATCCTTACTCGGGACGCAGTGACCGTTTTTAAATCACAAGGGCGTGGGTCAGCCTCCCCTAGGACTTCATGTCTGTATATTTCCCCATTCACTGGTGAGTATCCTGCGCACCTCGGCGGGTATCCGTCTAGCGACTGTAGCTGCCAGGCCCAAGTGCCTGCTCGTGCCGGCTCCGGTGCAAGAGGAGCAGGCGGTGCGGGCGCCGGGCACTAACCCGCCTCCCAAACCCGCGCTGGAGTCAACGTCAAGGTTGCAAAGATGGGGGTAGGGGGAGGTGGTTCTGAGAACATCCAGACAAAGGAAGTGAACTGCAAGCCCTCACTGGAAGGACGTCTGGGAAGGTGTATACACGGTGGTGATGGTGTGGGGGAGAACCAGAGGTCACGCCTGAACCCCGCTAATAAAACTCCGTGCGCTGAGGGCTGCGGGAGGCGCGAGCCCCGCCTGGCGCTGGGGGCTTCTGCTTTCCTCGAGCCCCTCCCCTTTTTCTTTTTGTTTGCTTGCAAGTCTCAGCTTCGAGGCCGGCGGCAGCGGGGCTGAGCTGGTGCGGCAGCCGCGTTTGCAGAGCCAAGAGGGGTGGGGGGGAACCCCCCTCCCCACACGTAACCCGTCCGAAGCCACAAGCAGCAGCACAAGCGCATGCTGCACCTTCCTGACACCTTCCCTCTCCTTACCCCTTAAAAACCAACGCGCTTTTTGGGGGGCCTGGGCTGGGGAGGAGCTGCCCTCTCTGGCCCCAGCCTTAAGGAGCCTGGGCTAGCCATGGCGTGGCGGAGATTTACATCTGACTGGGGATTGGGGCTGGAAGGGATGCGCTTCGGCACCCCGCTCATTGCGGAGCGAGGCCCCAGGCCGCTGGGACTTGAGTGCCGGCTGCTGCTTCCTTCCTGCTCTGGGGAGGAGGAGGAGCGACGGGGTGGGGGGGGGAGTTGGGGGGGGTTGGGGGGCGGCGAGCGCTGGAGGCTTCGGAGCGCGCTCTCAGGTGCGGGGCCGAGAGCCCTGCAGGCTCTAGCTTAGTGCGGTCCTGCCCAGCCCTGGCACCAGAAAGTTCATGCTTCTCTCTTCAACTTTTCGGGCCCGCCCGAGCAGCGAGCGCCCCTACACCAGGCGAACAGCCCGGCGAGAGCCCTATGCGTTCTCGCTCTTCGGGCCCAGTTCTTTGGAGGGAGGCGCGGAGTTTGGGGGGTGGGGGTGGAGGGTGGGTCCGCGGCAGCCTTTCCAAGACCCAGGAGGGAAACTGCTTTTGGAGTCCCAGCTCCTGACCCGAAACTTCCACCGAAACCCAGCATCTTCTCTTAGACCCCCATCCTCTGGGGCTCACCTTCCCCACCGCCTAGCGGTGTGTGAGCAGCCAGGTGCCGGATGGGTGAGAGTGCAGGTTGGCTACTGGGGGCTTTGTGCCGCCGGTCACTCCCAACTTGCCAAGGCTCTAACCTCTTAGAGCCCATGGGGGTTATCTTCCCCTAAGAAAGTAAGATTTGGGGGTATTGTATAGGTGATTAGCACATCATAGTTTGCAGTGCTCCCCCCACCCCCCAGATGAGCCGTTTAGCGTGATTGTGAGGTATGCATTATTAGCATCGGGGTATCAGACGAATAGGGCACCTGTGGCTCAGAGAAGTTGTATGACTTGTTGAAGATCACACAGCTCTTGAGTGGCAGAGATTGGACCAGAAACTGTCGCTTCTGTTTCCAAGTCCAATGCCATTTCTATCCCATAGTAACCATAAGATGAAGAAGCGTTTGGTACCCCTGTTTTCTTAGGAATAGTCTCTCTAAAGCCTGTTCCGCTTTTTCAGTTTTTTTAAAACCATGTGTCAAGTCAAGAAAATATTGGATGCTTTGTAGCGAGGACATTGACTTGGGTATGCACCATTCGGCATTGTGCTTTCGGGACCCGGTATGTGCCCATGCGCTGTGTGAGGATAATGGGACGTTTGTGTCCTGCTTACAGAGGACAAAGCACTTTCACATGTCTGCCATCGGTGGGCCAGCTTGGCCCCTCTGGAAATTTCCTTTGCCATCAGAGTCTGGGCATCCTGAAGGCTTTTAATCCAGGGGATGTTTTTCAAGCTGTGAGTTTGCAGCTGCCGTGGCTGGGACCGAGAAGGGGGTTGCATGGCAGATGTGAAGCTTGCAGGAAGCTGACCCCTTGGGGCTTTAAATGGGACATTTTGCAGAAAGAAGCACCACAGGGACGGAGAGAAATTTAGGAAGGCAGTATTATTAGACTTGGTTTCCCTGAGGTTGACCTGTTGTTATTATGTAATAATATTATGCAGTTCCCCTGGAGAAGGGTTGAATTGTTTTTAATAGAGACAGCTGGGCTCAGCTACCTACCGTTTGGTTTTTTTTTCTAGTTTTGTCACTTAAAAGTAAATCCAGAGTCGCCCTGCCTGAGTGGGAATGGGGACTCGTACCAGAGAGGAGGGGTTTGCCGGGGAGGTTCTCAGACAATGGGCTTTGTTGCTGGAGGCTGAGAGCCCCCTGCCCCAGACTTGAAAGGCACTGCCTCAGGGTGTGAGTTTGTTTTTCTGCGAGTTCGGTTTTCGAACACCTCTCCTGCGCCTCCAGACAGTGCCCTGAGCCAACAGCAGTGGGCACCCAGAGAGGAATGTGCGAGTGTGTGTTTGTTGACTTTCGGCCTGGGTCTCTTGGCAGCCCCGACTACCTGAGATCGGCCGAGATGACTGAGGTGATGATGAGCACCCCATCCATGGAGGAGATTGGCCTCAACCCCCAAAAGGATGGCCTTTCGTATCAGGTGAGTTCAATACTGGGTTCCTTTGAGCTCTTCAGAGCCTGGTGTCTTTTGCTGGGCTTGGTGGCAAACTTGCTTCTGTATCCTAGTGCCACTTAAAAGAGCTGTGTGACCTTGGGGCAGTCCCCTAATGGCAGTAAGCCACAGTGTCTTCATCCGTAAAATGGGGCACCAATGTACTTGACCTCACAGAATTGTGAAGATTCGACATGGTGAGAGGCGTGTGGAAGGCATTCACAGTCCCTGGGACACAGTGAGGGTTCAGCCAGGATGAGCCAACGCCGTTAATTAGTCGTCCTGGCGGCTGTGGGCTCTCCCGCTCATGGCAGCTGGGAGGAAGTAATTTGTGCAGGCAGCTCAGACAGAACTTCCCTTCCCAGCCATGCCTCGGGCAGTGGCACCGTTGCTGTGAGGGGCAGCTCATGGGGAAGGGTGGTCTGGTGGAGGAATAGCTACATCAAACGCTGCTTTCGTCCTCAGGCTGATGGTTGACCAACCGATTCTAACAGAATTAATGTTCCAACTACTTAGAGTTGTGGAGAGCTTTCCCCAGAGAGAGGCTATGTCACGGGTGCCGTTGCTGGAATCCAGCCTAGCAGTTGTCCTGTGTCGGGGATTCAAAATACATACAGGCCCCCCAAAAGTGACCTAAGGGAGAGCTTTGGATTCTCAGCACAGTGCTCTTTCTGGCCTGCCATGATGCTCTTCCAGGCCCCCCACCCTCACCCCGGTGGCTTCAGAATACCTTTGGCTCCCTGTGGGGTAGATGGGAGGAGAGTACTGAGGCTGTTACATTTGGGGGAGGAAGGATCTGTTTTTAAGGGAAGATCTGGAGGCTAGGGAAATTGTGTAGCATATCTGGTCTGGGGGAGAAAACTGGGGGTGTGGTGGGACCACTCAGCAGACATTAACTGAATGTCCGCTGGGGGCCACACCCTGTACGGGCGGTCCCCATTCACTCGTGGCCATCACGCTGAGCTGGGAATTCTGGCTCTGCTCCACGGATGAGGAAACAGCCTCAGACTGACTAGGCTACTTGGGTCTCAAACTACAAAGCCTTGCTCTTCTGACGGATCATGTGTCTGTACCTTGGGTTGGTCCTTGGCTAGAATCCAGACTTGCTCCGGCTAGACATTCCTTAGAACCATTCCAGAGGCATGTGTTTTGTAAAGGAAGGAACAAACAGAAAACCAGGTGGGTGCCGTGGAGGGAGGGTGAGCAGAGACTGCCTAGATGAAAGGTGAGTTCGGGTGAAGTCGATTGGCAGGTGACAGCAGAGCCACCCACAGACATGACTGGGAGGTTCTAGAAGGCCCCTTTGTTTTGTGTCAGTGTGGTCGCCTCTTTTGATGGCTGGAAATAAATATTCAGGTGGCCTGAGGGGTGTGGGGGGGGGGATACCCCTCCCTGGTAGTTTTATACCCTCCACGCCCAGAGTGGGTCCGAGTGCCGCAACCGAAGGCCCCACAGCTTGTGGGAGAGGAGAAGTTTCCTGGCTCACCAGCTGGGCTGTTTTCAAATACCAGTTTCCAAGCCACTGAATCAGACTGAATCTCTTTGTGGTTGCAGGTGAGATTTTCTTTCAATTCTGAGTTTTAGATTTCCATCACAGAACCTTTCCAAACACGGGCGTCGGTATGTGTTGTGTGCGCTTTTTATATTCTCCTTTTGAATATGTCCCGGGATAAAGGGCCGGGTCCTTCAGGGTACTTTTCTCAACCCTTCGAGTCCTTCAGGCCATTCTGCTGGGGCTGAGGGACAGGGCAGGTGGCGATGAAGGACAGGGCTGCCACCCTGGGTGAGGAAGGCTGAGTTGGGGCCCCAGTGGCCTGAATGGAAAATCAGATAACCTCTGGGTTCCTGCAGTGTCCTGGTGCTGCCGGAGAAGAGGGCCCTCAAACCTCCCCTGCAGTGCTGGACTGGGAGGGCCACCACCCCGTTCTCACAGCCCCTCAGGATTCTCGTCCCTGCTGCCTGGCTGGGGACTACTGTCCAGTTTCAAAATACCTGGAACTTCAAAGTCTGTCACAAGGTTTCAGAAAGGGCTTCTGGTTGCCTGATGAAGAGAAAGGAGAGAGGTTATCATCTCTAACCAGACAGCATATACTGGCTGCTTGATCTGTGGAACATGCTGTGCTGGGCGCTCGCACAGAGAGGGTTCAGGGCTCCCGTGGGAAGCCAGCAGGTACGTAACACCTGGAACGCAGGCAGTCTGGTGGAGCATGCAGACGCCATGGTCCCTCTGGGTGTGGGTGGCAATGAGAAGCCTTGAATTGAGGCCAGTCTGGGACTGGTCTTAAGTGAACACTGGGACTTTGAGAAGACACCTCTGTCTCCAGTATAATTTCGTTGCGTCTCCAGATAGCCCTTGGCTTGCCCCTATTGATGTCAGGTGCAGGGCTCTGCAGAGAGCTGGCTTGACAATCGCCGTATTACGGCTATTCTCTGAACGGCTCAAAGCTGGTGCCTTCCAATTAAACACATTCCCGCCAGAGCTCTGGGGATTGGCTGCAACTGCACTGGGCCAGAGCCCGTCCTCTGAGCATGCTCAGGCTGGGCCCAGACCTGGGGGCGGAGGATCTCAGAGCTGTTCTTGGCATCCTGCCTGGGGGTAATAATAGCATGCGGCTTTTTACTGAGACCCGCTTTTCCAAGGAACCGAAAGTGGGAAAGAGACATCAATCCTAACTTGGCAGATGAAATAGAATCTCAGGCTTGTGATTTGACCTTGAAACAAGGTCATAAAATAAATAGGCATACTGGGCTTGGTCGCTTATTCTCCCACCTTCCAGACCTGCTGAGAAAGCAGTTTTCTTGATTTCTCCACCCCAGCTATGACCTCTCGTAACACCTGTGGCGTGCTGTGCTTTGACATGATGCCGCCCTGGGTTTTGAGGACGTGGATCCCGCCTTACCTTCTCGCTGCCCAGGTGTCTGAAGGCAGGGGATGACTTCTTACCCTCTTTGTGCCCATCAGCCATCACCCTCCTCACACCATTTCCCAAACCAAGGTGCCTGCCGGCTCAGGGCCTTCACAGGGCATCACAGGTGATGGTTTCAGCGATGGCCAGTCTCCTGCTTCTAAAGCTGGCCGCGCTCACTTCTGCTTTCGGACCTGTCAGGGCCTCGTCAGTCTCATGCCTGTCCCGGCTCCACATGGAAGCCTTGTTATGCCCTGAAAGTTTCGGGTAAGCCCTGTCTCTTGCGCTTAGGGAGCTAGTGCTATTTTGTGAGTAGGTATAAAGACCGGCAGAGCCGGTGCCTTGTTTTGTCTTCACGTTTCTTTAGAGAGCCAGTTCAGTGTGAGGCATTCATGTCTTTGTGTACTCACTTGGCATGAATTATAACACCCACTGGGTGGGCGAGTAAATGGTTCCTAGAAAGTCTGAGTACATTTCAGGCTGGCTGGGGGTGGCAGCCAGCTCACCGGGGCTGAGTGGGAGGGTCTCATTGAGGACATGCACGGCCCTGACGGTTACAACTCCCGTCCCACACTACATCTGTGGGCCTCCTGCTGTCCTGCCCTGAGGGAGGATGGCTGCCCTCTAAGGCCTTCTTCCTTTCCCTGCTCCAAGGAGGCCGGTCTGTGCCTCCCTGCAGGGCCTGGCACTACCGGCTGTAAGAATGTGGCATTTTGGAATGCCCCTCTGACTGGGTCTCCTTTGCTGCTGCCCCTCATTGGCCTGGGTCCCGAATGGGGAAGGGTCCTGGGCATTTGCTTGAGGATGCTGATGCTGCCACAACCCAACTGGCCCCAGCACAGCATGCTGAGACTTCCTGCCCTTGCTTTGGTCTGGATTGAGACAGGCTTCTTAATTTGCATTAAAAAAAAAACAAAACTGGTCCCTTCTAAAGCATCTGGACCAAGATCTGATAACTTTGTCTTTCCCTAGGTTCTCTAAATTCCTCTCTGATCAGTACACAAATCCCTTACCAGTGCCCTTTGGATTCCTTCTGCTGTTCTTGGTCATATGCTCCTGTCATCTGATGTCCATCAGCCAGTCACACAGGCAGGGTCGGGGGTGGGGGCGGTGTGCGTTGTAAACCAGAGGGAGCGAGGTCTTCACACTCCGCTGTGCCTCCCTGTGCCTCCCCTCGGTGCCCGTGCCTTCCCTTTGATCCACAGAGCGTCCATGTCTGACCCTGCATTTCCCGAGACAGGAGGGAGGGATAGCCTGGTGTTTAATATGATAAGGAGGAGGGGCGGCGGGCAGTAACTTCTTGCCACAGCCCTGGCATTTGCTTCCAGCAGTCCCGAGAGCCTCGGTTCTATCTCTGCATTAGGTCTAAAGCACCGTGCTGGCCGAGAGCTAGCTTCTTCCAGGACGGAATTTCCCAGCCTCTTCTATCTCTCTGGCCCAATAATAGCTGATTCCTTTCTCTCCCCCTCCTCACTCTTTATTGGAAGCAGCAATTCCTCTCTCCGAGAACAGCCTTGATGTAATCACGCAGGTCAGGCTGCAGTTCAGAAACACTCTGTCTTCGTTCACATCTACGCCGAGCCTTCCTTTTTGAAGACCCCCTGAGCCTGGCTTTCCCTGACCCGTTCCCACCTTTGTAAATATGTGTGTTGAAATATGTGATGGGTTGAGCTTCTTCTCTGAGTTAAGCCCCCAGAGAGGTTCCCGCTCCGTGTCCCTGCCTCTGTCTCCCACAAGCCCCTGCTCACGAGGTTGTTCGAGGCATCACTCATCAACCACCTCCGTCTCTTTTTCCTCGTGCCCCTTGTCACATTGGTTACCCCCAGCTGTGGGACCCTACGTGTCTGCCGAGCCGCCACATGGAAGTCCCACGGCCACCAGGAAATCATCTGTCACAACCTCAGACTTAAAAGGTCTCGGTTGTCCCCGGAGAGATACAAAGCTAAAATTCCAAAGCACTCGGCAGGAGACACCCAGCCGTGGACACAACGTGTTTCTGGAACCACAGCGAGTTTTCTTTCTCCTGTCCCTACCTGCTCCACCCCTTCCCTCCTCAGTTCAAATCCCAGTTCTGTAATGCAG